CGTGAAGTCATGTATGGTTTGCAACCACCACTTCGTCCTTTCCGTGAAACTTTTCGAGTAGAATGCCTCCCGCACCGGCCTGACATCTTCGGCTGTCAGTTCAGCGCAACACATCCGCCTACAACAGAGCATCCCTCGCACTGCCTGAAGTGACTGCATCCTGAGTTTGCCCATAGCTCGCCGATGCTGTGTCTTTTTGGCCGGTTCTCTGTTTGCCATAGAATAGGGTCTTCTTTCACCGGGCATAGGCGCCGACAAAATGTACCGTATGTGGCGGTCCTCTTCTGAGAGACAGCGCGAGCTCTGACTGTCTCGTGAATAGCAGTATTCAGTGATTTCATCCGTGGACGGTCCTTGACTCTCCTGGCACTGCGGAGGGGTAGACGAGGAAACCCTATCACCCCCACCGGCAACTCCCAAGGAAGAACCAGCAGTAGTGCAGTTGTTCGCACTATACACGTACTCCGTCCCACTATAACTACAGTCACCGAGATTCCCCTCGGGTATGGAGCTCGACATCCCAGCGTCGGTCATTTCAGAACATGCTGAAGAGACTCTGGATGTACAATCGACACTAAGGAACTGGCCCCCGCTTCCAGTGTTTTTGTGGTCTTCGAGCACGTCACGACAGATGTACGAATGCTCGGTGGAGGTGGACAACTGTGTTCTCTTCCGTCGATGCTAAGTGTTTGAGTCACGTGACCGTTTTTCAGAGGAAGCACGTGGCTCGAGTCGGGAAGAAGTACTATCGGCACTGTTCGGAACTTCAATGCCCATAACCAATCCCTTCCCAGCCAATTCCTGCCGAAAACGTAACGGAAGGCAAGCTGGCGTGGGAGGGAAGTCTTGATCGACCGTCGTCGTATCACACCACTGAAGCATTCCACTTTTCCCTGCGAGCAGAGCAACAGACGTTGACCCAAATCGCAACCGAGACAGTTGTTGGACTTTGGCAATGATAAAGCGACAGAGATGCGTCCACCAGTTGGGGAGCACTATAGCAGCGCAACGAAACAAAAAGACAATGCATAGCCAACCTTGAACCGGACGACAAACCTTCACCCTCACCGATTTCACATGTATGGTGTAGAAATGGCGGGCCCGCAAGTATGTAACATACTTTAGATTCGGATGAATCCGGCGCAACGACGCAGGCAAATATCGGACTTGACATTAGACGTGCATAGCCAGCCTTGAACCTGACTACAAGCCTTGCCCGTCACCGATCAGACATGCTATAGAAATTGCGGGTGTGCAAATATGTAACTGATTTTAGACTCGGATGAATCCGATACAATGATGCAGGTAAATATTGGCAAGTCCGCATCGTCGCAGGTTCTTATGTCGGATGCATCCGAGACACTTAAATCCAGATTTAGACAATTGCAGCATACACCACCAGTGCGTCAAGTATGCAATGTCGAGCACCATCAGCACGCATACAGACGACGGAAGTGATCACGAGTCTTCCGCGTCCTAAGAAATTGACAACCTTCCCACAGTGCCAAACAGTCGGCGGTCTGTGCTGTGGGGTGGCAAAAGCACTCTTAGGGAACCTCGCGGTCTTGTTCGAAAACTGTTGACGTAGCACCAGATGCTCACCAAACAGTTTTGAACGCCGATGTAATGGACAAATCATATGGTGCCTTACGATCAAGCAGTGGTTGATAGCTGGCCCCCTTTCCCGGTCAAGATCTTTGAGAGCAGAGTTTCGCACTCCACCATGAGATCCATATCGGAGAAGGGGACCTGCTACCCCGCCGTTGTTAACTTTAGTCATCATAAGGGAGTATATGACGCGGGAACCCAAAATCGAGCAATTGCGGAGGAATATCACGGCCGCATGACAAACTTTTTGGCGTAGCACCAGATGCTCACCGACCAGTTTTGAATGTCGGTTGTATCGACACATCATATGATGTTTTACAAACAAGCAGTGGTTGATAGCTGGCCCCCTTTCCCGGTCTGGATCTTTGAGAGCAGAGCTTCGCACTCCACCGTGAGATCCATATCGGAGAAGGGGACCTGCTACCCTGCGGCTGTTAACTGTAGTCATCATAAGGGAGTCTATGACGCGAGAACCCGAAAATGAGCAATTGCGGGGGAATGTCGTGGCCGCATGACGAACTTTTCGGCGTAGCACCAGATGCTCACCGTCCCGTTCTGAATGTCGGTTGTGTCGACATATCATATGATGTTTTACGAGCAAGCAGTGGTTGATAGCTGGCCCTCTTTCCCGGTCTGGATCTTTGAGAGCAGAGTTTCGCACTCCACCGTGAGATCCATATCGGAGAAGGGGACCTGCTACCCCGCCGCTGTTAACTGTAGTTATCATAAGGGAGTCTATGACGCGAGAACCCCAAATTGAGCAATTGCGGAGGAATATTGCAGCCGCATGACGAACATTTTGGCGTAGCACTAGATGCTCACCGACCAGTTGTGAATATCGGTTGTATCGACACATCATATGATGTTTTACAAGCAAGCAGTGGTCGATTGCTGACCCCCCTCTCTAGTGTGGATCTTTGAGAGCAGATTTGACGCAATCCACCGTTAGACCCACATTGGAGAGGTGGACCTGACATCATGCTGCTGTTCACGGTAATCATCATGTGGGAGTCGACAACGCGATGACCCCGCGATGTTCCAATCAGGAAGTTTTTTTGTGTTCTGTGCAGGTGCTGAACGTTGGGTAACGAGAAGGAACAAGCTCGAGCGACCCCAAACTTCGGATGGATCCGAGACACAAGACGACATGCCGGACAAGGTCGATTGCAGTGTCGGCCAGCGTCGCTCAGTCACTTTCGGCCTGGCAGCGGCTGTTGCACAGAGGGCTACGGACATGGCACCACATTTCATGGCATCCAATCGAAAAACCATCGTCGCCGTCGCCGGGGGCGATCACGAGCCTTCGCCGTCGCGATAAAAAGCCCCGACGATTTCGCAATCGGGACGTGCTATGCATTCTGCGCGGCTGCTTATAATTGGCCCATATGCAGCGTATTGACGCAAAGAGGAGTTTCTTTCAGCGGGTGTCCAGGGTAACAGACGACTTTTGTAGGGATGAGAATGAAAACGCTTGTGCAGCCGGCGACTTCGGATGAATCCGAGACAAAAGATGTTTTGGTGGACATGCATGATTACAGCCTCGACCGTCGCCATTCACGTCATTTTTTGCCATGCAGCGGCTGTTGCACAGAGGGCCACGAACATGGGCACCACATTTCATGGCAGTACCAGACGATCTAGAGGGCGGCGGACTGTTTGGAAGCGTCGTTTGCCTCGAAGGCGTGCAAGAACATAAACTCGATGGTCTGCAGTTATCGAATCGCACATACAGAATCCGACGGGTTGTTGTTTGGCCAAGGATCGTCCTTGGGGAAGCCTTCACGCATCGCCTTCAACGTTGGGTGCATCCGCATGTATCTGATTGATGATTCGGATGAATCCGAAACACTTATAGAACGTCACCTTCGCAAGTTCAAATGCAACAACGCAGGTGTCAACTTTAGTCATCACGAGGGACTCTCCTCTTCCTTTAAATACAAGGTCTGACCACACGTCCGTATCTTGTGACATACGGGGTTTCCCGCGGACGAGGTCATGAACGGAAGCCATACAGAGTTTTCATAGATGATCCATACACATGAATCTGCGGCTGGTCGACTGTTGCCTTCTCCGAAAACACGGACATGTATTTCATCCTGATAAACCCTCCTCGTCGTGCTAAGGAATTCCCTATACAGTCACGTATTTCAGACACTTTCTTTTCCACATCATCCCACAATGACAAAAAAACTCTTACCTGACCTGCTCTCACCAAGTCTGACCGCCCATCTACATCTGGGCGAGACATGACCGCCTTGAACCTGGATCTCTGAAGCACCATCTCGTTGCGTGACACAAGCACAACTGCATCCACAAGTTTCCCGCTTTTGCTTGAAGAAGCCACACATAGCACTCTGGCGAAAGGACATCCGTCACCCGTCAACCGCACACAACAGTACGACAGAGCTTGTGGAGAAATCCCTGGGCAACGGGGTGGGTAGTGTTCCAAGAATGAACAATGACGAGCGCAGTCCACCAACTCTTGCTTCTGCGAACTCCCCCAAGTTCGTGGCGAAGATGTGATATACTCGCAGTGAAGGCGACGTCTGAAGCTGGTACGGAAGCGGACCGGTTTACCCTTATCGTCCAGGGTCTTTCGATGGAGGACACCAGCAGGCAGTGCAATGAGGCTCCCAAACTCCAACATGTTGGCAAACTTGTAATGGCTTKCCCATGGGCAGGAACGCTCCATCGCCTTCCAGTCATTTTCGTTCCATTCGTCGAGATGCCGGTTCATGTAAGGGACGACGGTCGTCCAAGGGTCGTCCTCGAAGTCGTCCTCGGGTGCATCATCGATCCACATTTGACCGTCATGATGCCGCAACGATCTTGCACAAGGTGGAAAGGGTTTCGCTAAGCGCATGTGCCTCTCGTGTAGCATGGCGATGCTTGTCAAAGAACTCGACGACATTAAACTCCCTACACAACACGAACACATGGATAGACATACGGGAGAGGAGACGGTCGTAAACAATGTCGGTGAACGATGATTTCCCCGACGATGCCCACACCCAGCTGTAACGCCCTACACTTTTTTATCGGCGAAGCCCTTACAGAAGGCCGTCAATCGGAATCGTCCAAAAAAAGATCTTTCCACGTCGCATTGCAAAGCCCTTACAGAAGGTCACCAATCAGAAGTTCGCCAAGCCACTGGAGTGTTTTCTAAAAGTCATGCAGGGACCCGTTCCAGAGCAGATGCGGGATTTCCAAAAATTATCAAAACCCACGTCGTAAAGCACATTGAGACGGACAGAACAGTGGGACGACCCTCGTCGAACGGAACAGCACACCGACGCCGGACAGCCACATCACACCGCCTCATCTACAGAAGACATTTTCGCACAGTCGACATGACAAGTACTTTTCGCAGCCCCATTAAAGCACACACTCTACCTACCACGGTTATTCTGAACACGAGGTGAACAGAAGTGCAAGACAGAAGCTCATGCAAGCCTACCGCACCGCCCCGGATCCGAGGTTCGGATCAATCCGAGCCACCCGCCAACAGAAGTCCTAGACAGAAGCTCATCCATGCCTACCAGTCGGTGGTTCGGATCAATCCGAGCAACCGCCCCAGAAAGATAGACATTAAATGGGATGTCGTGCGACCATCCGAGCCACCGCCCAGCGACCTCGCCTCACTCGGAGGGATGTGGCAGAAGGATGAGACACCCCTGGAATCGAAGGCGGAGCCAGTAGGAAGCAACACGTCCTTTGCGAGGTTTGCCTTACTGCCCCATGTGCAAACAAACAAAAGCCAAGAGTGGCAGACAAATCAGACTCAATCGTCGTCGAGCTATGAGGTTTGGATTAATTATTCGGACCACAGCAAACGGTTTCAGTCAGGCGGTACCCAGACGTCCTTCGAAATGTTCACATTTGGCCTCTCGGAAGGACAAATAAACAACGAATGCCATGAGTGTCCACCATCGATTATTGTATGTTGCATTCAGGATGCGTGGCGTGTGCCGCCGTTTTCCTTTCCCGATGAGACCTCCCGTCACTGGGCGTGATACTCACCTCGGGACTCCCGATGCGGTGAGGGATGTGGTTCGGATTGATCCGAGCTATATCACACGTTTAGGAGTGACGCGGAATTTATAAGTCTTGTGTGAGTATTGCACAACCCAATGCGGAATAAATAAACACTGACAAAAGCCACGACTCCCGTCCGTTAGTCGTCTGTGGTTGTGGTTCGGATTCATCCGAGCTACAAACGAAGGCAAAAGCATATGGGGAGCTATCGGAGTCATGATTTCTGGAGATGTTTACTTCAAAGCGATCCCCTGTGCCGTCGTTGTCCCTTCCACTGAGACATCGGAGGGAGGCGGTTCCCTTTGAGACTTCCCACGAGTTGAGGGTTGTGGTTCGGATTCATCCGAGCTACATCACACGTTCCGTAGTGAGGCGAAACAGAAAACATACAGTCCTGTGTGAGTACTGCACTACCCGATGCAGAATAAATAAACACTGGCAAAAGCCACGACTGCCATCCGTCAGTCGTCTGTGGTTGTGGTTCGTATTCATCCGAGCTACAAAAGAAGGCAAAAGCAGATGGGGAGCTATCGGAGTCATGATTTCTGGAGATGTTTACTTCGAAAGCGATCCCCTGTGTCGTCGTTGTCCTTTCCACTGAGACATCGGAGGGATGCGGTTCCCGTTGATACTTCCCACGAGCCGAGGGTTGTGGTTCGGATTCATCCGAACTACATCACACGTTCCGTAGTGAGGCGAAACAAAAAACGTCCAGCTTGAGAATTGCATAACCCCTCGTGGGAGATAAAGAATACTGACGGAAGTCATGAGTGGCGGGTTGTCATGGAAAGGGGGTCACCTCAAAACTCTCGATGGGGGAACGTTGTGTGTAAACAATGGGTCGGATGTAAGGGGGGCATAGTCATCCAACCACTGGCATCGCAAACGACATCTACTATTGCCTTCGTCTTGAGATTGGATGAATCCGAACTCCATCCGGAACAAGTGGCACGAACAGCACTCTCTCACTCCCACTGCAATCCCGAGAACGCCTCCCTAAGCTGCTCTGGAAAACAAGGCTGCGATTAATTGGAATCGAAATGTGATCGGCGTGGATCGAGAGCTGATTGTTCCACGAGGTCATTGTGCGTTCATTCAGCTCAGATTTCGAGACTGCAATCGTCACGAGGATTGTCCACGTCAGAGTTCGCCCAAAATGAATCGTGGCGAGGGGACGGGCTGCCGCGCGGGCGGCGGTGCTGAGAAGTTTTCCTGTGGGCGAGATGGAACTTGTGAGCGCTAGTTCCATATCCAAAAGTTGTCGATGCGTGTCCGGCGTCTCGCGCCCGGTTGCGTGGCCGTTCCTCATTGCTAGCTGCGTGTGCGAGAACGGGCGATGAGACAGAGAACGTTCAAGACAACAAGAAAAAGATCCTGATATCGTCCACAACCGCGATAGAAATGTTCAATCACTGAGTCGATCGGAAATGAGCTCGAAGTTGGCACTTAGCGGTGGGATGTCGTGGGATCGGCGGTAATCTGGGATGTTTCGGATTCACCATGGGTATCCTTTGTGCGCAACGGGTCGTCGCTGAACGTTGTGGATGGGTGGCTTGGCCACTGTTGGCTGTGAGTGCGACACGGGCGATTCCTGTTGGAGGTGCGCGTTTGTCGTGAGGCTTCCAGCTATTAGCGCTGCGATAACAGATCGTTCGATAGACGTCAACACCGGAGATGGATGGACGGGATCTTAAAGTCCATCGACACGCGTTTTTCAGATGACGTCTTCGGTGTTGACGTCTATCGGGTGATATGTTATCGCAGCGGTGATCACATACCACGATTTTGAGGACGCCAGGGAGCAACGGCGATGAAACTTCGTCCACGCGTCAGATGCGGTCGTCGAAGGCGTCCGACGATCTTAACTGCGAAAGCCGCAGACCATTTGGAATTTCAGACGTCATGCGCAAGATGGTGACGTCAGCGTGTGTCAGTGGAAGGGAACTTTCGTGGTTGTGAGCTGCGGACATCGTGGACTGAAGATCGCGCGCATGTCGACTTGTGCGTGATAGACGGAGCAGGCGGTGATGTAGAAGAATACTCGCACGACTGACTGCATTGCGATATCCTAAGTAAACTGGGGGAGGACGACCCGCAAGCCAGGGTCCAAGAAAGTGTACCGACAAGCGATGTCGAGGACGCCAAGACTCGAGGGCGATGCGACTTTCTCCACGCGTCAGATGCGGTCGACGGGAGGGCGCCAAGACTAGAGGGCAATGTTGAGGACGCCAACAAGCGATGGTGAGGACGCCAACAAGCGATGTTGAGGACGCAAACAAGCGATGTTGAGGACGCCAAGACTCGAGGCCGATGACTGTGAAAGCCGCAAGCCATTGCCCGTCGCTGACGTCATGTGCAAGATGATGACGTCAACGTTTGTCACTGCATGGGGTCTTCCGTCGTTGTGATCGGTGGGCGTCGTGCGCTCAAGATTGTGCGCGCGTGATTGGCGGAGCAGGTGGTGGCAGAGAACAAGACTTGCACGGTCGAAGAAGCGGAAGGGCAATGGGAAGAGGTGGGGGCTTGAAATGGTGAAGGGGTCGAGCAGGGGGCGTGGGCTTCTTATTGACCTGCGAGTCGACAAACGCCTCCAGCAAACACAAGAAAGCACAACGCGAACGGGACGACCCGCAAGGTCTACAGTCGTGTGACGTTTTCGTTAGCGCCCCCGGCTATCGACGATTGCTGGAAGAACGAGGGCCTGGATGCACAAGGGGCCTGCGATTTGATGCATGTGACTTCGAGCGATGGCGGACGCGTCGCAAAGGAAGCACACGGAAGAAATGGCACCAGCGAACGGGTGTGACAGCCACCCCCATTCGTTTGGTGCCCGACAGGAGAACGGAGAGTGCAGTGAGTGGGGCTTGAGGGGCCCTTCAGCTGCCCGCCGCAGGTACTGCCGCGTCGGGGGCTGTGACATCAGGTGGTCCCTTTTTTGACGGACCCTCCTCACGAAATCGCACGGTCCGAAACCGTCGCGGGAGGGCAGGCCGTGATTGCGAGAGGACAGGCCTTTTTTCACCGTGCTATCGATGGTCCCAACGCATCATCTGGCGCAAATTTTTCCGCCCACTTTTGAATATCGGGGCCCGCGCCGATTTTACTGTGATATCGACGGTTCCAACGCGTCATCCGGCGTGGCTTTTCCCGCCCACTTTCGTTTCTTGGGCCCCGCTCAGATGTATCCGCCTTTCGAATGACGGTGGCGCCATTCCGTGAATTTGCAGGTGGGTATTGCAATCGTCCGAAGCAGCAGGCAGTCGCAGGTGTCGCCAACCCTCACGGCCGAAAATGCCCGTCGCGCGCCCGGACCACCCGCCCTTGCCAGCGACACAGCCATCTCGTCGCATAGGGACACAACCATCTCGTGGCCGTTTCCCCCGCCGTTAGCCTCGCTTCTCTCTCTCTCCCTCGTCGCCATATCCCTCGCCTCGCCATCTCCTTCGCGTCGCAATCTCCCGCGTCTCCATTCGCGGTTTTGCCCTTTCACGCGTCGGCACCTCCCCTTTCGCGCGTCGCGACACACGTCGTCGTATTGCGGTTTGAGATCATCAACCAAGTCGCCGGGGCCATTGTTTCCAACAACAGTTGTAAATCGAGGAAAGAAAAGGTGCGTTCTCTCTCTCATTCTATCTCCCTTTCTCATCTCTCTCTGTCTCACTTCCCGGCTCTCTCTCTCTATTTGGCTCTCTCTCTCTCTCTCTCTCTCTCTCTCTCTCTCTCTCTCTCTCTCTCTCTCTCT